GGATCCCACATACAGACCGGTTCCTGCTCACTGGCTGAGCGAGGTGCGGGTGCAGCACCGAGGTTTGCGATCCCGTTGCCGGTCCCGGTCCGGTACGGGCGCAACACTGAGGGTTGCGATCCGTTGCCGGACATGAAAAAAGACAAAAAGGAAAAAAAAAAAAAGAAATTTAGAGACAAACCTGCCAAAACCACATAATCTGCTTGCTCGTCCTAGTGTAATGACGGTAGATGGCATGTCTTTGCCAGTCATTCAAGTCAATTTCTTGCATTCCACATAAAAGGACCTTTAGGGATGAAAAAGACAAATTGTTTCTTTATGTAACTGTACAAAAAAGTGCTAGACATAGATAAGAAAAGACTATTAAACACAGCTTTAAAAAAAACCAAATTAATCAGTAGGCTCCAGTTTGCAAACTGTACATCATGAATTGTATCTACATTACTCATGAAGGTCAGTATCCATGTATGGTATCATATATACACATATTCAGGGAAATAAGTCAATTGCAGAGAAGCACTAATAGTAATACTTTTGGGGGGTAATACTCTTTATTTATCTTTGAATAAATTATGGTTTTCTTTAACCACTGAGGATGCCTCAAAACATATTACCAGCATAAAAAACACTACTGCCACTGGAAAGATGGGAAAGTGGTTGAAAGCAGATATAGGAAGGCATTATTTACTAGCATGCTGCGGGGGAATGAACAAAAACTCATTACCTCTAATTCCTTTGCATCAAAGTATTGCAAATACTGCTGCGGAAGTATTTCATTAAAGCCCTCAAAGAAAGCTTGTGTCTGTTCTTCAACACCTCGAGACAACCTCCATTCAGCTACCATTCTGACAAATAAATATAAAAAGATCAGGAAGTTTAAATTTCACCTTTAAATTCTGAGAATGAATTTTTAAAACATTATTATTTAAGAAAAACCTTCAACTATATGCAAAAGTAGAATATAACGAACCGCTTGTACACACGTCCATACTTCATTACAACACTAATGTTATCTATGCCCCTATTCATATCCTAGATATCATATAATTTCATTTTAAACAAATATTTCAGTATGTCTCTACACGAGATCACACCACAAAAACAAACAAACAAACAAAACCCCCAATAATTCTTTTTTTTTTTTTTTTTTGTCTTTTTGTCTTTTTTTCCGTGTCCGGCAACGGATCGCAACCCTCAGTGTTGCCCCTGTACCGGACCGGGGACCGGCAACGGGATTGCAACCCTCGGTGTTGCTCCCGCGCCTCGCTCAGCCAGTGAGCGGGAACCGGTCTGTATGTGGGATCCGAACCCTCGGGCGGGAGCACCGCCGCGCTTCCCAAGCGGCGCACTATCCAGTGCGCCACCGGGCCGGCCCCCCCCCAATAATTCTTTAATATCAAGTGTTCAGTGCTAAAATTCTGATTGACTCTTTTTTTTTTTTTTTTTTTTTTTAAAGATGACCGGTAAGGGGATCTTAACCCTTAACTTGGTGTTGTCAGCACCACGCTCAGCCAGTGAGCGGACTGGCCATCCCTATATGGGATCCGAACCCGGGGCCTTGGTGTTATCAGCACCGCACTCTCCCGAGTGAGCCACGAGCCGGCCCTGATTGACTCAATTTTAAATAATGTCTGAATCAGGATCTAAAAAAGATTCATATATTGCAAAAGTCTCTTATGCTTCTTTCAATATGTAGGATTCTCCCCCTCTCAAATTTTATTTTTTTGGGGGGTGGGGATAGCTAGTCTGTATAGGGATTGAACCCTGGACCTTGGTGTTAACCCTTACAATTTTTTTTCTTTTCTTAATTTTATTTTGTCAACATATAATGAGATTGATTATTGTGGCCCATTACCGAAACCTCCCTCCCTCCTCTCTCTTCCCCCTCCCACCCAACAATGTCCTTTCTGTTTGCTTGTCGTATCAACTTCAAGGAATTGTAGCTGTTAAGTCTCCCCCCGCCGCCACCGGTTTTTGTGTGTGTCTGTGTGTTTGTGGGTAAATCAATTTGTTTATTTTTTTTTTTAGCTCCCACCAATAAGTGAGAACATGTGGTATTT